GTCTACATATGAACTCTACATATGATGTCTACATATGAACTCTACATATGGCGTCTACATATGAAGTCTACATATGAACTCTACGTATGAAGTTTACGTATGAACTCTACATATGACGTCTACATATGAAATTTACATATGAACTCTACATATGAAGTCTACTTATAAACTCTGCATATGATGTCTACATACGATGTCCACATACGACGTCTAGATATGAAGTCTACATATGAATGTACAAGCACATATGACGTCAAAAAGTGCTCATCAACCTAAACACGAACCATTCATAATCTGCACCATACGTAACTCCAGAATAATAAAACCACCATAAAAATAATCGATAATTGAAAAAAGCTATTTAAAAAAATTGTCAACTCTAACCATGCGATGCAAGGTCTTAAAAATCGATGTCTCCCACAAGTCCCCAATTAAACACTAAAAAACCAGATCACGAATGAAACGAGTTTAACTCGTGAGAAAGAGATCCGCGATCGGCTGTTAAAAATTCCTGGCTCGTTTTCCCTTGCCGGGTACCCATCCGGCGTATCATCGAACGACCGATCCCAGTTTTGAAAAAGGTTCTGGTTCCGTGTGTCGGCGGTCTGAAAGCCATCTCCGTGGCACCGGGCAATTTCACGTCGGCACGTGAGCGGACTGTGCAAACTTTGTCCGCGCAAACTCGCTGCCAAACAGCGGGCTCTGTTCCCGCGCGTTTTCAGCCGCTTTCGGAGGCAACGGGTTACCGGCCGGAGCCTCTAGAATAAGTATGCACGGATAATAAAACGACCGTGGAGACGGTCGTTACGCTGTACGCTGCTCAAACAGTCCCGGGAACGGAAACCCGAACGTCGTAAACGACGGACGTTGAGAGTAGAACCGCGTTAGAGTCGCTTGTTGGTCGCTAGGACCAACAGGCTGCTTTTACAAGACGGACATTCCGCTTTTGAACTCGATTGATATATTGAAGGATACGTGGAGTTTACGGAAATTACCGAAGACTGTAAAGGTAGTGATGGGTTCGACTTACTCTTGCGTGGAAGTAGTGATGGGTTCGACTTCCTCTGCGAGGTGCTTTGAGTCACTTGGTACATAGATGTCGGAAAAATGACGAAACTTTTTAAATAAAAAGAAAAAAATTAATGTGTAATCTAGTTTAGAGCTATGTGTGACGATTGTGTATGACACATGTGATGATACGTGACGATATAACTTCATGAGTATACGACAATACTCCATGAGTAACTACACCTACTACTTAACTACCTAACCTAACTACACCTACTATTTAACTACCTAACCTAACTACACCTACTACTTAACTACCTAACCTAACTACACCTACTACCTAACCTAACGAAATACCTGAGAATATCACAAAAGTCAGCTAAAAATATCTAAAACTTAAGAACGTTGCAAATCCTAAAACTCAAATCTGATCAAACCTAACGTCCACACTTTCTCGTGGAACGTTCAAACTCTTCCTCAGCCTTTCACTGACCGCCGAAGAAAATTCCAGCGAAAGATTCATCATAGAGGTCTAAGAAGAATATAAAGGTAACGATAATGCAAGTACACGTTTCGTCGTGTTTTCAACAAAGATTCCTGTTTCGAAGCGTTGTCCCTCGGCCATCGACTTGATGGCACCACCATTTCCCGTCCGACATGGCCGGACATTACCCGTGATTTACTCTTCAATTTCCGCGGGTCTCCCGTGCTTCTAAACGCTCGAAACCACAGAAGCTGTTGTGAAGCCAGCGAAAATGTCACTCGGCTTTATATAACGTTAGTAGGAAGCGTGTCGTGGAAAGCAAAGGCCAGCAGACGATCCTCGGCCGCTTTCTACCTTCGATCTTACGGTAATTACACAGACTCGGGTACCGTACGTGTATGCATCGGCCGATGTGAGAGTGCATACACGTGGCTCGATGCAAACGTGCATTCGATAGGTGAAGAAGAACGTTTCGTAACAGTCTCGAAAGGAATACAGCTTCGAGAGCGGAGGAAATGTTTATACGTATAACTTTACGGTTTAACCTTCTTCGTATACTTTTCATTGTTGCTGATTTTATTGTTATAAAGATCGATATGAAATTACCGCGTGTAGCACAAAGATAGTATTTCTATTTTAACTTTCTATTCGGTTTGCGTGGTTTTCAATTTTCTTTGGTTCTTTGAAATTTTCGGCTTGTGAGGACACTCTTGTTATATTGCCACTTTATGCTAATGGCGGTTTATGTCACAAGCAGCAGTTTATATCACTGGCAAGACAAAGATAGTTTATACTAGTTATACCACAAGATGAATAAAATCCTTGTGATGACGCTCTCGTTATATTGCCACTTTGTGCTAATGACAGTTTATGTCACAAGCAGCAATTTATACTACTAACAGGACAAAGATAGTTTATACCAATTATTTCTAAAGCCGAATAAAATCCTTGTGATGACACTCTCGTTATATTGCCACTTTGTGCTAATGGCAGTTTATGTCACAGGCAGCAGTTTATATCACTGGCAGGACAAATATAGTTTATACCAGTTATACCACAAGCCGAATAAAATCCTTGTGATGACGCTCTCGTTATATTGCCACTTTGTGCTAATGGCAGTGTATGTCACAAGCAGCAGTTTATACTACTAGCAGGACAAAGATAGTTTATACCAATTATATCAAAAGCCGAATAAAATCCTTGTGACGACGCTCTCGTTATATTGCCACTTTGTGCTAATGGCGGTTTATGTCACAAGCAGCAGTTTATACTACTAGCAGGACAAAGATAGTTTATACCAATTATACCACGAGCCGAATAAAATCCTTGTGATGACGCTCTCGTTATATTGCCACTTTCTGCTAATGGCAGTTTATGTCACAAGCAGCAGTTTATATTATTAGCAAGACAAAGATAATTTATACTAGTTATTCCACAAGCCGAATTAAATCCTTGTGATGCCGCTCTCGTTATATTGCCACTTTCTGCTAATGGCAGTGTATGTCACAAGCAGCAGTTTATACTACTAGCAGGACAAAAATAGTTTATACCAATTATACCACAAGCCGAATAAACTCCTTGTGATGACGCTCTCGTTATATTGCCACGTTCTGCTAATGGCGGTTTATGTCACAAACAGCAGTTTATATCACTAGCACGCCAAAATAAAAGCACCGTATAAACAAATAAGATAAACAGAATAATAAAATTTAAGTCACGAAGTACTTGAACTTGAAGTAAAATACCTTACCTAAATTTTAGAATCTTTAATCAGAAACCATTCATATCACACTTACATCATTTGCAGTATATAAAGCAGCCACTAATGCAATATTAATGTATATTAAAAGTTAGGTTACGGATTGAAAAAATGAGTAGCACAGTTAGTTTCGAAATTGCCCGATTTCTTTCGGCAAATCACGTCGTAACACTCGAGGGGCCTTTCGCCTCCTGGGGCCCCATGTCGAGACTCAGACTTCCGTTTTCACGATACTACCTGGAAAATCCCGCTGTTTTATTATGCCCATTACATATAGCCGAACGAAATCGTGCCGTTTAATGCGGATCGTTTCCCCCGCGATCGACGTTCTAACGAACTCGATAAATTCATATTAAAAACGGGAAATAACGATGGAAGTCGGTGTAACAGGAATTTAATACACTGTTCCAAACGTGTCTAAATGTCAAACGTGAAAGCGATATTTGGAACGATCATACCCGGGCTGTAAAGTTAGGAAATTATGCGTTTAATAATATTGCTCTTCCTTGATTACGCGATACTTTCGCTTCTAATTAATTTCTGACACCTTTTGCTAGGAATTTTATTTCTATTCGATGAACGTGGAGAAACTTTCATTTAATAAAAGTCTTGGAGATTGTCGTGGTAATATATTGAATGTCCTTTTTATGTACTTTTATTGTCCAGTGTGAAACTTGACAAATGAAACTCATATTTTGAAATCTGCCTCATTTGGCGCCAAATCAGATCAACTTTGACATACGTTCTCTATGCATCTCATTTTTTACTTCATTTACCACATTTCGTTCCCAATATCTCCTCCATCATTTTCCACTTAATTTCATTGCTAAAACTTCTTATTTAAACCAACTTAAACAATAAAAATAAAACTTTCGGTATTTAAAGATGGCGGTTTCCGACGCTCCACCTCGAATATTCAGCTACCCAAAAATCGACTTTAACGATTTAATTTACAAATGCCGTGATATATAAATGATTCAATAGATCGGAGAGTTTATTACAATGCCTGGATTTAATTAGATTTTTACATGTGTGTACAGACGACACACGCGAGCGGATTCTTCGAGGTGCAGATCCTCTCGCTGACGAACAACAGGGGCACCCTGGTGGACGGTAGGTGTTGCGGCGGGGGAGATGGCGGTGGAAAGGGTGGTTTACCACCATGCACCACCCCATGTTCGACGGCCTTCTGGCTTTGCTTGAAGGAATATCAATCGAACGTCACTGCCATCGGCTCCTGTAGCTTCGGCAACGTATCTAGTCACGCCCTTGGCCAGAACACCTTCACCCTCAGCGAACCTGTCACCCTGCAACTGCACTTCACCTTTCGATGGACGGTGAGTACAAATTTAACATCTTACTGTTATTTCTTCTTTCTGTGTAATGTGTAATGGTCTAATAGGGATGCTGTAGATATTAACACATTCTGTCGATATTTTGAGGTCCTCAAAGTCAATATCTTGATATTGTCAATATTTAAGGGTTCTTGTTAACAACATGCACCAATGCAATATTGTTCTAAGGGTTTTCCATGTATTGTCACTATTGTATTGTGAATATTTCAAGGTTCTCATGAGAGATATCTATTATGAATACAGTGCTGTCAATTTTTAATGTTCTCACAGTATACCAACATACTAGGTCCTTAGTAATGATGGATCCTCATGGTTAATACAATATTGTTAATAATTAGAGACAGTAATTAATTTTTACGATCAACGTATATTATTACATGACTATACCCAATATTTCAGTATACAGAAATATAAAAATATACAAGTACAGAAACAAGTAAAAGAATTGCAATAACATACCTCAGCAAACAGAAATATAAAAGCAGCAATCAACAATTTGAAATATCGATTCTACCAAACGATGAAGTAACGTTCTGAATCATTCTCCATTTCCAAGAACGCGCTTCTAAAAGAGGAAAAAGGAAGTATTTATCCTTCATTACGCTTTAAACAAACACGTGCTCCTTTCGCTCCTCGAATTATCATAAAATGATATTTTCTCAGGCATACCTCGCACACGATTTCGAAAGCGCGCACGTTTAAATTTCGATAGTAAAAAGTAAGCAACCTCCACGATATTTTATGTTATCCGCGATGAGAGAATCGAGTGGGACGATGAAGAGGAATTCCCAGGGGGTCGCTAAATGCAGTCAGCGTTTTCGATGTGCCCCTCTCGGAAAAGATTGTGTGTACCGTAGTATTCAATCACCGGAGACGGTAATGACGAAATTATCCGTAGAAACGATGAAAGGCAGCCTTTACCGCGTCGAAAATGATTTTACAGCTATATTTTATGGTAGGACGCATTTTTAACTGGCGGGACTCATGTGGATTCTAGCTCGCGTTTCGATAATGGCGCATTTTTGGAATAGTATTGTGGGTTTTGCAAATTGGAGAATCTATGATGTTGAGTTTCTATGTCTCTTCTCAAATGTCATAGGCTAAGTGCACCACCCTCAAGTCCACATAAATCTACCTAAAATCTGCTGTTTAGGTCCTAAACAGTGGGAACACTAACCCTCCGCATGTACCAGTGTAAACCGTTTTCCAATCACGACTAAAGGAGCCACTGAAGACCAAACAACCTGTCGCGCCAGCAATCTATCTTGCAGTAATTAAAAAGGGTCGAGTAGTTTTTCGGTAAACGAACATCCCACCCACGTGACGTGTCACCGTTCGAGTAATTACGTCGAGACGAACGGCTGATTTCGAGATCCTCGAGAACAAGCATGACGACGTGTTTCCCTCGCAAGAGGTACACAATCGGGCAGCGAACGTCAAGGGTCCTCGTTCAGGACGTAACGGACCGAGCTACCATCTCGTGTGTGCTCGAACCACGGAAGAAATAAGTGTGTTCGCCGATATACAGAAGAGAAAGGCAGCAGCGGATTATTTGAAGAGCACTAGCGTGTTTGTATATTTCATAACTCGCTCGTGAGACTCTAAGAGGACCGGGGTCCGTTCGACGGCGACAAAGGGTGGGCCTCTCGAGTGCCTTAGGGGGCATAAACAGAGACCCTTAAATTGCTTCCTTTCCGTGAAGGATCCCCTTTTTCCACGATCCTTTTTTCATTTTTCTTGCACGTATACGCTTCTTCTTCGAGCATTTAGCGCGGACCGAGCTAATTCAATTATGGGATGGGCACGCAATAAAAAAATATATGGAAAGCAAATACCACGTGTACCGACAAGTTTTCAAGGGGACGCTAAGGAGGACTTGGAATGTACAGCTTTGGCCACATTCCGAGACATTGCTACGTTGTTTCTTTATAGCTTCATTCAGTTGTCTCGTGTAGGAGAAAAATGATTATGCAGCCATGTTCTTCAAACTTCGAACTAAATATTCATGCAACACAAGTAGTATTTGATAATAATTTTGTATCACGAAATTTTGACAGACGTTTACTTGTTTCAAAGTCTGTCAACATTCACTGTAACAAGTAGTCAGGCATTTTCTATTAATTACTCGAACATTTATAATTGATTACAGAGATTCTGTAGGGTATCTCATTATTTATAGCATTCAATTATTTATTTCAATTAAGCTGTGTTAAGAACAATGAGATTATACAGTTATTTTTATGGGACTTTAAGCTTCAATGTCATGTAGCAGTTGTGATACTTTTTTGTCAACTTGTGACAAAAACTTGTTAACTGTTCTTCGCAGCAAAATTTCGTGTTGAAATAACTCAGCTTACAATCAATAATCATATACGATCAATACAAGTACACTATAATAGCAATATAATATAACAAATTTATTATTAAAGTGAAACTGAAATGGGAGATTAGTGTCCCTGGAAGAGGTGGTAGATGTCATTCTGAGTAAGATTTCCCTTTGCAAAAATGAGATAGAGATAGGTTAAGCGGTTAAATATTCACACCCTCAACTTCCAAATACAGGGTGTCCACAACTAGTGTAACTCTCTGAATTAGGTGGTGGGGTTCGACATTCTGAACAACTTTTCCCTTTGCAAAAATTCGCTATGAAGCTTCGTTTTTGAATTATTAAGGAAAAACACAGGACCAATCAGGGCGCGAGACAGCTCCGCCCAGCGACTGAGCGCGCGTAATCCTCGCGCTCTGATTGGTCCCTTGGTCCTGTGTTTTTCCTTAATAATTCAAAAACGGAGCTTCGGAGCGAATTTTTGCAAAGGGAAAAGTTGTTCAGAATGTCGAACCCCACCACCTAATTCAGAGAGTTACACTAGTTGTGGACACCCTGTATTTGGAAGTTGAGGGTGTGAATATTTAACCGCTTAACCTATCTCTATCTCATTTTTGCAAAGGGAAATCTTACTCAGAATGACATCTACCACCTCTTCCAGGGACACTAATCGTGAGACCCCCTGTATTATAATGAACGAGTCACGATAAAAATTCTCTCCAACACAACTTAAGAATCGAATATCGACCCGAATAAAGCATTCCAGATAAAACCGTCTAGACTCCACAGAAAATGTGAAGTGTGGGAAAGGCTGTCGATGAAAAGAGCGCGGAAATTATCGGGCACCGAATCGAGGAGTGAGATGCCTCGAGGAACTCTCGTCGACGAGGACGCGAATACGAAATAACGACGGGATGAAACGGGAGAGGTAGACACGTGGTTGGAGAAAGGAAAGACTCGAAACGTAGGTAAAGTATCTATAGTCTGCAAGAAGACACACATAGACGGGTCCAGGATTGTGCAAAAGCTTGCCGTACTCTCATCTCGCTGATCGTTTCCTGTGCCATTATGCTACCGCTGGAAAGGCGGTTGTATTCCTTCTTACGTATGCCGCTATTGAAATTGCAAACGGAGAAAGTCGAAGGACGATTGCTCGTCGGACGATGCATGCTTGTTTGTTTCTTTCGTTTGCATCGAAACACTCTGCCCATTAACGGGGATCTGTAATTTCGAGCTCAGCTCCAAATTATTGCTGCATACGGCAACTTCGGAGCTGGGGTTTAGAATTAGAATAGGTCTGCAAGGTTAATCGTGACCTTTGCATTCTTTTTCTTGCTTTACGAGGTTGAATGTTCAGGTAAATGGAGATGGTCCTTGGTTAGGTGGTTAGTTTATTCTGTTAGGTGTTATTTCTTTATTTTGCAAGGTTAATCGTGACCCATGTGTACTCTGATGAATGTTTTGCAAGTGTTGCAAACTTTCCTAGTGTCCCAAATTTCTCAGTTCCAAAATATCCCAAATTCTTCAAGTTTCGTAAATTACTAAATTTCCCAAATTCTCGGAGTTTTACAAATTTCTCTAATTCCCCAAATTTCGCAAATTCTCCAAATACTCCAAATCCCTCAAATTTTCTAATTTTTCTAAATTTCCCAAATTCTCCAAATTCCCCAAATTTCCCAGATTCTTCAAATTTCTCAAATTCTCCAAATTCCCTAAATTTTCCAAATTCCTTAAATTTCCCAAATTCTTCAAATTCCTCAAATTTCCAAAATTTCCCAAATTCTCCAAATTCCCCAAATTTCCCAGATTCTTCAAATTTCTCAAATTCTCCAAATTCCCTAAATTTTCCAAATTTCCCAAATTCTCCAAATTCCTCAAATTTCCCAAATTCTCCAAATTCCCCAAATTCTCCAAATTTCTCAAATTCTCTAATTTTCTAATTTTTCTAAATTTCCCAAATTCTCCAAATTCCCCAAATTTCCCAGATTCTTCAAATTTCTCAAATTCTCCAAATTCCCTAAATTTTCCAAATTCTTCAAATTTCTCAAATTCTCCAAATTCCCTAAATTTTCCAAATTCTCCAAATTCCTCAAATTCCCCGAAATTTCCAAATCTTCCAAAATTCGAAAATCCCAAAATTTCGCTTTCAGATTGAAACGGTACAAATTAGCATTAACGACCCAACCCCTCGCACGTCAGCCACCGTGTTCCCATTCTCGAAATGTTCGAAAGGCACCCGAGTGAATCTCGGCCGAAAGAGAAGCGGAGTTTCGCAACAATACAAGCAGAGCCCCGGTCGGCCCGTTGGAAAAGACTTCCACGGGAGCCATTGTGTATCGCGATGCCGATCGCAGAAAATTTCTAGCCCGATTCCTTTGTCGATGCGGGGCGCGCGAGAGCTATCGAATCCAAAGGATTTCCGGTCTGTTGCTTCTCTATCGGCGAGTCGTTACGTAGAATTCCAGTTTGGTTCCAGTCGCTTGGCAACACCTCCTCCTGTTCCTTCGCTTCTTTTCTTCCTATTTGGCTGACCTCCAACTAACAAATTCCTATGGATTTCTACTCTCCTCTCTTTTATTTCTACGTCTGTCTATCCTTGCAATGTTAACGTTTAACCAAGTGTAACTTCGCGATGGTCCATCGGATCGGATGCGTG